ACTTGTGGAAGCTGCATGTATATTCGTCGTGAAGGATTTAGACCAACTCCTGCTTGACGTGGCCGTGAGGGTCCCGCGCTGCCTTGTGCGGTGCCGGACCGATGTGCTCGACAGCGTCGCATTCAGGGGAGATCACAACTGAGAGCTGACTTGGACTTATGCCCTATACAGTTGGAAATAGATTCGTGGTTAGTCTAGAAGAAAATTTACTCGCACATTGAAGGCGTAGCACGTAGATAATTTCTGCGAGAGTACAAGTGCGAGTACATTCGGACTTATTCACCATATAGTAAGAAATCAGGTTCTTGGTTGGTTCAAGAGCGAATATATTCGAACATAGAAAAGGACAACAATTTTTTTTCGCCGAGAAGAAGCGCGAGTTTACTTGAGTTTTTCGATTTCGAGACCGAGAGTACAAGCGTGAGTTAATTCAAGCTTATCCACCAAACAACAATAAATTTAGGGGCCTGGTTGGCGCAAGTGCGGATAAATTCGCACTTCAATTTCGAAACTTACAGTACAAGTGCGAGTTGATTCGGACTTATTCACTGTGCAATAAGAAATTACCTTCCTGGTTAGTTCAATAACGAATAAATTTGCAAATAAAAAAAGACTTCATTTTTTTTGGGCCGAGAAGAGGCGAGAGTTTACTACTCGAGTATTTCGATTTTGAGACTGAGAGTACAAGTGCGAGTTAATTTTGACTTATCGACTATATAGTAATAAATTTAAGGGGCTGGTTGGTTTAAGAGCGAATAAATTCGCATTTGAAACGAGCGTTTCGATTTCGAAACTAAGGGTACAAGTGCGAGTTGTTTCGGACTTATTCGTCGTATAGTAAGAAATTAGGTTCCTGGTTGGTTCAAGAGCGAAGAAATTCGCGCATAGAAAATGACTTCATTTTTTTGGGCCGAACAGAAGCGCGAGTTTGCTTGGACTTGTTCACCACACTCAATCCGATTTCGAAACTGCAGGCATATCCGACAAGCATTCTTGTACGTAGGCAACTCCAATCCGCGAATCTCACAACTCCAAGGATATTTGACAATTATCTAGTTTATAGGCAATCCATCGTGTTAAACCTCCATTACGGCATACTGGAGGCTTGTTTCGTACGATTCGACAATGATGAGCGACTAGACTGATGGTGGACTACAACGACAATACAATTGATGGCGATACGATGGAGATTTATGGAGAAAGATGGTGCAACGATGAAGATAGATGAAAAAAGATGGCGCAACGATGGAGAGACATCGCGCACCGATGTAGAGATATGGCGCACCGATAGAGAAAGATGGCGCACCAATGGAGAGAGCAGGCGCAACCATGATCAGCGATGGCGCACAGATGGAGAAAGATGGCACACCGATGGAGATAGATGGGGAAAGATGGCGCAGCGATGGAGATAGATGGAGAAAGATTAGGCAGCGATGAAGATAGATGGAAAAAGTTGACGCAGCGATGAAGATAGATGGAGAAAGATGGCGCAACGATGGAGAGATAGAGAGAGATCGTGCACTGATGGAGAGACGGTGCACCGATGGAGATAGATGGAGAGAGATCGCGCACCAATGAAGAGAAATGGCGCACTGAGAGAGATGAATGGAGGAACAGTCTGCCCCTGAATACAACGTACGGTCATTATAGTTGAATTAGGCGCATCTTTCAGTCTAAATACAACTATAATGAACGTACGTTGTATTCCGGGGAACAAGGTAGATGGCGCAGCGAGGGAGAGAGATCGCGAACTGATTGAGAGAGATCGCTCACCGATGGAGAGAGATGGCGCACCGAAGGAGAAAGGTGGCGCACCAATGGAGATAGCAGGCGCAGCGATGGTTAGCGATGGCACACCAATGGGGAAAGATGGCGCACCGATGGAGATAAAAGGAGAAAGATGGCGTGGCGATGGATATAGATGGGGAAAGATGGCGCATCGATGGAGATAGATGGAGAAAGATCGGGAGAGATTGCGCACTAGTGGAGAGAGATGGCGCACCGATGCAGAAAGATGGCGCACCAATGGAGAGAGCAGGCGCAGCGATGGTTAGCGATGGCGCACCGATGGAGATAGATCGCGCACCGATGGAGAGAGTTGGCGCAGCGGTGGTCAGCGATGGCGAGCCGATGGAGAAAGATGGAACACCAATGGAGAGATCTGGCGCAGCGATGGTTAGTGATGGCGCAGCGATGAAGCGAGATGGCGCAGGAGCGCCACGTATCTCACAGTTGCAAGCATATTGATTCCAAACTAATGATCTAGCTTATTAAAGACCGTCATGCTATTTAAGATTAACCAAGATTAGTTATTGAACAACATCATTTAATGCCTAACTAATGTTAATCTAGATATAATGCATCAGAGATCAGTTCCAAATTAACTTCCAATTGCAGAACGTCCGGAATAATTTACACGTTTCCGAAGTAAATTTTGTCGAAATCTTCCTGTTTACCACTAATTACATCCGATAATGACTTATATGGTCTATTATTGCTATCTCGCATAGGAGGTCCTCCTAAGCCATTATCTATCAATGCATCTACAACTTCTTGAACTAATATTTTTTTAGATATCATTAATGAATGTGGCGCAGGCCATATACCTTGCCATAATTCCCAAAGAGTGATCAAAGTGAAATCCATCGTGTTAAACCTTCATTACGCATACCTGACACTTATTTCGTGCGATTCCACAATGATGGGTGGCTACACCGAAGGCGGACTAAAATATCAATACAATGGCGATGGAGAGATCGCGCATGAGCGATGGAGAGAGACGACTGATGGAGAGAGATCGCGCAGTGATGGAGAGAGATGGAGAGTGATTACTCAGCGATGGAGAGAGATCGCGCAGGAACGATGGAGAAAACTCGCTCAGCGATGGAGAAGAGATCACGAAGGAGCGATGGAGAGAGTCCGTAATGAGCGATGGAGAAAGTCCGCGATGAGCGATAGAGAGACGGCGCAGTGATGGAGAGAGATCACGCAGGAGCGATGGAGAGAGATGGAGAAAGATGGCGCAACGATGGAAAAAAGATCGTGCAGGAGGGATGGAGAGAGATGCGCAGCGATAGACAGAGTCCACGATGGAGAAACAAGGCACAAAAAAGGAGAGAAATCGCGCAGCGATGGACAAGAGATCGCGGAGGAGCGATGGAGATAAATGGTGCGGCGATGCAGAGAGTCCGTGATGGAGAAAGATGGCGCAGCGATGGAAAGAGATGGTGCAGCGATGGAGATAGATGGTGCAGCGATGGAGAGAGATGGCGCAGGAGATGGCCTAACGAATCAGCGATGGAGAGCGCTGGCGCACCGATGAAGAGAGATGGCGCACCGATGGAGAGAGATGGACAAAGATGGTACACCGATGGAGAGCGATGACGCACCGACGGAGAGAGATGGCGCATCGATGGAAGGGATAACAATGGTCAGCGCTGCGATGGCAGCGATAACGATGGTCCGCGCTGCGATGGGAGTGATAGCGATTGTCAGCGCTGCGATGGTCAGGCGAGCGCGATGGCTGCGATGGAGGATATTGCTTTGCGCAACGATGGCGATGAGCTAAGCGCATCGATGGCGATGGTGCATGGCGAGCGTTGGAATGGATTGCGGACTTTCAATATCCAACGTCGTTGACATTTGCAAAATGCCCCAATGACTGCGAAACCAGAACTAATAGATTTCCAGTGTTGACCTCGGCGCGCAATGAACCGCCTCGCCTCGGCGCGCAATGGACCGTCGCCTGGCCTCGGCGCGCAATGAACCGCCGCGCCGGATTTCTGCGCTTGACCTCGGGGAGGTAGCGAAGCTCCACTTTGTACGTCGGATCATGACGATCGACGGTCCAGCATAGAACAACGAAAATGATCTAGCCTCTCCCTTATTCTTTGAATCTTCATATCAATGCATGCTGGAGTTCGCGGAGATTTAAGGGCCTCTGGCATGTGAGTGGCTTCGTTAATCTGCGCCGTTGAAAATTGTTGATCGACGGTCGACAATTTCCGGTACCTCTGACCTTTCGAGGCCCAACCTGCCCTTACTGTTTTATAGGCCCTGGCGTGCGATATGCGAATCGATACGGCCCCTTCTTGATCCCGACGCGAGGCGTGCCGCTGAAAAGTATAAAAGGCGTTACCGCCCTCGTGTTATCCTTTTTGTTGTTTGGCAGCTCCATAGTTCAAGTCACGTTGTCACTTCCGCGTGCGTTTTGATATTTTGTCTTCACCCGCCAGCTCCTCCCGCCATAGCCGGTTCGCTCTTCCTAGCTCGCTTCGCTCCTTCTGCCACCTCCTTCTGCCAATGCCGCAGTTGCCGCATGGTGTTCAGTTCGCTCTTCATAGCTCGATTTCCATTCGCCATAGCCGGTTCGCTCTTCGTAGCTGGATTTTCATTCGCCATAGCTGGTTCGCTCTTCGTAGCTCGATTTCCCTCCACCATAGCTGGTTCGGTCGTCATACATCCATATTCGTCAGACGTTGGTTGTTCGCGCAACGCACGAAGAATGTGAGATGCTATTTCAGTTGTCCTAATTTGTGTCCGATGTCCGAACAGATTCTCAGATGCCTTGTCTCTACCTGCACGTTATAACGCCGCAATTGCCACATGTTAAACCTGAATCAATTCCCAGTTTTGTTGTTTCACAATTTCCAGAGGTCTGGTCGCGCTAACGCCACCACACGTGTTCTGTTATCTTTTCTTCACCCTCCACCTCCATCCGCCATAGCCGATCCGTGCTTCGTAGCTCGATTCCCTTTCGCAATAGCTGAACTTGCACGCTATAAAGCTGCCATGATATTGTTTGTATAAAGTTGCTCGATTCCCTTCGCAGCTTATACTCATCAGTGCCCATGGTGAACCCCGAATCAATACCCAGTTTTTGTTGAACCCTGAATCAATTCCCGGTTTTCGGGAGTCGCGAGTCTAGGAAAACTGATAGCCACTGCGTAGGGAGTCGAGATTCCGACATGCGAGACGAGGTCGCCCTGAAGTCTTATCAAGTGCGAGTAGATTCGCACTTGTCTGCGAGGACTTTTTTCCCGATGTCGAGAAGAGTCCGTCCCACCGTATGCAGCCGACGTCTCCTGCGCACAACACCTTGCTACTGCGCCTTTTGGAAGAGGGCGAACGTCTGCAGCATACGGTAACATCTCCTGAGCGGCAAAACCATTCCTTGGCAGGAACTGCGTCTTCGTTTTGCCTGGAGGCTGGGATGCCTGCATTGGGAAGGAGCGAAAGTGCGACCGTCAGTTCCCTTAGCTCCGACGAACCCCGCAAACTCCAAATAGATTCGGAGTTACGGACATCGCCCTGTGGGCCTTTCACCAGCAGTGCTCGCTGCAAAGTCCGAATAGATTCGGAGCTACTGACGTCGCCCTGCGGCCCTTCCGCCAGCAGTGCTCCTCACGCTACAGTTCTGCGGGGCCAAGAAAATGTGAGGTCCAACCCCCCACATCTTCAATTGGGCACAGTGTTCCCCTGCTCACCGCCGTTCTCATATGTTGAGACTCAAGACTGGCAGTCTTGCAAAGTACTGGAGGGGCCCGCTGCAGGAGTGTTGGAGACCGGGGGTAGCGAGTATGAACGTCATGCTTCAGAGGGTGTATCCGTCGACTTTGGGAGCAAGAGTACAGCAGCTCCAGGGGAAGAGGAGCTCTCATCGTGAGCACATGCTGTACAGCGGGAAGAGGAAACTCAACACTAGCAGTCTCGCAGAGTGTTGGAGACCGGGGCCAGCGAGTATGAACGTCATGCTTCGGAGGGTGCGTCCGTCGACTCTGAGGGCAAGAGTACAGCAGCTCTGGGGGAAGAGGAGCTCTCACAGGAAGCGCATGCTCTGCAGCGGGAAGAGGAGACTCAACACTGGCCGGCTCGTGAAGTGTTGAAGGGGCTAGATGCAGGAGTGTTGGAGACCTGGGCTAGCGAGTATGAACGTCATGCTTCGGAGGGTGCGTCCGTCGACTTTGAGAGCAAGAGTACAGCAGCTTCGGGGGAAGAGGAACTCTCACAAGAAGCGCATGCTCTGCAGCGGGAAGAGGGGACTCAACACTGGCCGGCTCGCGAAGTGGTGAAGGGGTTCGATGAAGGAGTGTTGGAGACCTGGGCTAGCGAGTATGAATGTCATGCTTCGGAGGGTGCGTTTGTCGACTTTGAGAGCAAGAGTACAGCAACTTCGGGGGAAGAGGAGCTCTCACAAGAAGCGCATGCTCAACAGCGGGAACAGGAGACTCAACACTGGCCGGCTCGCGAAGTGCTGAGGGGTGCTCGATGCAGAAGTGCTGGAGACCAGGACGTCCGAAGAGGTTCTGCACAGCCATTCGGTTGTGGCGACGACGCAAGAGGGTGACGTTAAGGGAGGTCAGTGGATGTTTGTGGAAGGCAATGACCGTGGGGAGGAAGGACATACGTGGACGTTTGTGGAAGCTCGGCTTCTTGGCGATGAGGAAGGCGAAGAAGAACCCGTGGTGGAAGCTCGGCTTCATGGCGATAAGAAAGGCGAAGAACCCGTGGTGGAAGGCGGTGAGGTGGCGATCGGCATCCAGATGGATCCAGAGCGGAAAAATTATGATTCTTCGTCCACCCGTTGCGGTGAAGAACAAGGTGATCGAGCGTCTGTCCTCAGTACCGTTCGGGAAATGGTACTTCATGAAGCCATCGAGTTTGTTAGCGACTAAGCTGTCACCGAGCTGGTTAGCGACTCAGCTGTGGCCGAGGTGTAGAACGTCGAATCCTCCCTGGACGTTGGCACAGTGGCGCGACAGGAGGGCGATTTCCCTCGAAGGACTTCGGAGCACGGTAAGATTTGTGAATAGTAGCACTCGCATATCAGTCACTATTCAGCTCTATGTTCATCCAAATTGATGTGATGGGCTCATCTAGCTATTACCACTTGTTAAAAAAAAACTTGTGGGTTGTGGGTTGTTTTCTATGTTTTACAGGTGTGAGGTTATCAATGTCCATGCCCATGAAGCCTTCAAAAGTCATGCGCGGGAAATGTTTTTCAGGGAGGTTGGTCGTGTTACCGAAGAAGTCATCGTCAAGTGTAGGGTTGTTTAAAAGGGTCCGGATGCCTCACCTTTCCGAGAGAGTTGTCAGGGTTCTGAAGGCCTGTGGAATAGATAAGGAGGAAGCTTTACAGAAACATGTGGCTGCGTCTATTGAAAGCGTTACTGCTTTGTCTAATGGGTCTAATGACGATGCCAAACGAGGTAACGTCAAAGACCCGTATCCTAAGCACATCACCACGGACACATTCAACAGTCGGGGATATAACTTTTCTAGAAAAAGGGCACACAGTTCTTAATCAATTCACCCCGACAATTTCGGCCGCTCCTCACACTTGTTCGTGGGTGTTTGTGCAGTTGGGGCTACATCATCTTTTCGTGTTTCCTTGCCTACTGAGGAGCTTAGCGTGACAAACTTGAGAATGTTGCAGGATGTCTGCGGAGATTTCACCAATGGCCACGAGGTGGTTTCCTTGATTCGCAAAGGGGTCAGTTCTATTCTGTTGAGCATAAAAAATCTTCAGACTCTTGTCCAGGGGGGATGGCTTTCCGACGAGGTGGTGGGGTCCTACTTGGCCTTGCTTGGCAACGCTACGTTACTTGAGCGGGTTAAAGCAAGGAACTCGGACCCTCTCTCTCTCTCTCTCTCTCTCTCTCTCTCTCTCTCTCTCTCTCTCTTCCCCCCC